ATATGAAAATGGAGTTGGATAACATTGAGTGTGTGTCCACCACAAATGGATCGAATGAGGATCTACAACACCCCCGCCATCAATTCTCATCGTCTAAGCCCACCCACAACGCCAATGCTAATTCCACCACCACCACAGCCACCGCTACCAGCGTCCGTGAATTGTTAGAATGCCCTGTTTGCACCAATTCTATGTACCCCCTATCCATCAGGTCTCTTCTCTTTTCCATTTTAATCATATTTTGTATCAAAATTTTGGGTTTTTTCTTGTTATTAATTTTGATGTTTTTGTTTGGTGTTGTCCAACTTTATTGCTCCATTGGTTTCAATGATTTTTACACTGCTGTGGGAAATGGGTTTGAGATTATTTCATGGTTGGTTTAGATTTTTCTTAAGCAAATTTTTGAAGGAAAAAATGTTATGGGAACCGTTTGTTTATGCTATTTGTCCTTTTCATTTTAACCCGAATTTTGCAATTTCTTTTACGTATTTTCTTCAGTAATGTTATGAACTTATTTTTAGTATGGTTATTAAAATTGAAATTTGACTTGTTTTGATGCCTAGAGAGAGAAGATGAAGGATAAACCATTATTACTTAAGCTGGATTTATCCATTGTCATATTGATCTTGCTTGTCACTTGGTAGAAGGATCAAGTCTTTGGCTTTTATATATTGTCAGATTACCTTCTATGTTCTGATTTTGATGGAGGTGAAGAATCTCTGATATTGGAATGTTAATGCCCTATTTTGGCGGTGTAGTAACCCGATTATTAATGCACTTGATTCGAGTTCTCGGGAAAACTTGGGATAGTGTTTTAATCTTTTCCCTGAAAACATCGACATAGGCAGCCATGATGGATTGCAAGTTTCCAGATTGGTAAGGATGTTAGGTTGTTCGTTGTCATTCTTTAGCAAGTTGAGAGTTGAGATTGTTTACCAGGTTTTATATTGGAGAGATTTGGTGATTAGATAACAAGGATAATATTTGTAAATCCATACAGGATAAATCAGTTGCTTTAACTCTAGCATTTTGCAGTGCCACAATGGACATACAATTTGTTCTGCCTGTAAGACAAGAGTACACCACCGGTGCCCCACTTGTAGACAGGAACTCGGTGACATTAGATGTTTAGCATTGGAGAAGGTGGCAGAGGTCCTTGATTTGCCTTTCAAATACTACGACTTGGGATGCCCAGAAAATTTCCCCTATTATAACAAACTCAAACACGAGGCGGTTTGCAACTACCGACCATTCAATTGCCCATAAGCTGGATCGGAATGCTCTGTTGTCGGGATATACCTTTCCTGGTTGCCCATCTGAGGGATGACCACAAGATGGACATGCATACTGGCTGCACGTTTAACCGTCGCTATGTTAAGTCCAATCCCCGTGAAGTTGAAAATGCTACTTGGATGCTAACAGTAAGTTCTATATTTCTTAAATAGCATTTATTATCTTTCAAAGGTCACCAGTGTGTTTTTAAAACAATGAGAACTGCCCTATCTTTCAGCCATGCCTTGTTCCAATAAGTTATTTCGGGGATGGTATGATACAATTGAGCGCACATTGAAACAAGCTGAAGAAAATACACTACTTTCTGTCACGATGAGAAAACAAAAACAGAAAATGGCATCTTTTTCCTCCTAGAAACAGAATCCTTTACTGAGAGTCTCATCTGTCGATTTATTATCTACTCTTTTTTCAGGTCTTCCATTGCTTTGGTCAGTATTTTTGTCTTCACTTTGAATCCTTCCAGCTTGGCATAGCCCGTCTACATGACATTTCTCGTTTCATGGGTGATGAGATGGAAGCTAGAAACTATAGCTACAGCCTCGAGGTTTGAGCAAATGGTCGAAAACTTATATTTGAAGGTACCCCACGTAGCATCCATGATAGTCACAGGAAAGTTGGGGACAGCCATGATGGTCTAATCATCCAACGTATGCACTTTTCTTCTCCGGCGGGTATAGGAAGGAGCTAAAACTGAGGGTTACAGGGATGGTATGGAAGGAACAACAGAATCCAGATGCCGGTGTGGGCATTCCAAACTTATGTAGTTGACACAATCGATACCGATAAGGCGATAACCCTTTTCTTAATTTGTTTTGAACCCTTTCAGCTGTGTGTCTGCCTGCATCTGCCATCCCTTCCTGGTACGCATGGAAGATTTCAGATTTGTGTAATAAGCATATTTTCTCCCCAGCTTTCTATTTGCAAATGATATGAACATTAACACAAATAGGCTGGCTGGATAAGCACGTTATGTCCATAACGGAACCATGCAACTTTTACGTGCTCTACTGTATGGGGGTAAAGAAGAGATGGCCTTAAGCAGCTTCCTCATGCCGTAATGGAGGCTCACGCTCCTCCGCATGTTGGAACGGTGGTCACGCGTGCCGGTCAATGATGGTCAACAATTGATGATTGACTTTGATATTGACCTTGTTAGAATATGATTAGCCTTTGTTTCATGGATTATAATTATGTATTAGTTAGGGCGAACTTTCCTTATTGTGTACTCGTTTACTTGGGATAAACACCCATTAAGCTTGGGGAATAATCAAGATGAATCGATCAAAATCAGTCTTCTAATATATGATTTTTTTTAATTTCTACGTAGCCGTTGACTTAATCGGCAACCGGTTCAACCCTTTAACCTAATGTGACCTCCTTCATTATTTTAACTCGGTTGAGCTCGATTCAGTTCACTTTGTAGAGTTTAATCGACCTGAATTGACTTATAGGTTAACCCAATTTGACCTACTTCATTATTCTAACTTTGTTGTTTCGACCAATTTTAAAGGGACAAAAATAATTATCATTGAAAATATAAAGAAAATATTTAAAATATATAGAAATTTGAAATTTTAAAGAAGGACGACTGTACTGTCCTATGTTCATCCTTGAATTGAAGTATGGAAATAACCATCATTGTTGGTTTCATGCTTCACCTCTTGCCATGTTGACGTCATAAAATTTGAAAGAGATCCTTGTTCACTATAGGCTTCAAATCTCTCGGCTGACGTGATTAGCTACATTTGATCATTGATCAAATCTACAGACCCACTGGATCACCTAACCCATTCATCAAATGCATGCGACCCATATATCCAGGCCCAATTGACGCAAAAATCCACGCGTCCTCAATCCCTCCTAGTTGTTGTATGCGAGGATGAACGTACACGTTTTTGTTAGAGATATAAATATTTAAAATTTTAGGAGAGATGTTAATTATAAAGATTATTAAAAAAATTATAAAATATATAACAATTTAAAATTTTAGAGAGGTGACCGCCTTACCCGTCCCTTCGATCTATCTATGTCTGCGTGTAATTATGGCAAAATGAAAGAAGGGCAAGGAGGGTGAGGAAGAAAACATGAAATTGAATGAGAAAAATGAAGGCTATAGAGAGTAGGCGATAAAGACGAGGAGAAAGTCATAAATAAAAGCTAGCAATAAATACCTTAACAATAAGTTAATGAATAATAGGAGTATAAAGACATTTATGTTTTATTTACATTTATTTGATTATCTTATTATTCTACCACTAATTACAAGATAATATATGTTTAAAATTTTCTTAATCAATTAATAACATATACACTCTGTAGATATAATTTCTCGAACTTAGGACTTCTAAAGAAAACAATTTATCACTAAGATCACCTAACAAATTTATATATTAAATAATTTTTAAAACTAATAATACTGAAATTGGTGGGTATGTTATTCATATCAGTATAGATGGAAAAGCTGTACGTAGGCTATATGAACACTTTAAATGAAGATACAACCGAAAGCCAACATTTGATCACTTTAACATAAAGAAAAAATAAACAAGGTACTCCCAACAGGTGAGTCGCTCGTCTCTTCTTCTCTCGATTATCATGTTCTTTTTAGGGGTTTTCTCACCTCTTTCTTGGTTAGATTGAATTGCTAGACTCGTAATCGCTTTTAATAAATAAAACGTTTGATTTTTTCGTAACCATCTTTTTATTGTCGTTGTCGTTGTTTTATCATGTTCTTCTAGTTTGATTTTTTATTTCTATTTAATATAATAATTTATTTAAAGACTTTTAATCTAATTTTGTAGAAATATTCGACTTGTCGAGCTTACTTCTAGTTTGATTTTTTATATTAATCTGTGATGATTACAAGATCATATTTGTTCATAATCTTTCTCAGACATTGACAATCCGAGACCTCAAAGGAAAATGACACTCTCTTTAACCATTGATGTCATTCAATGAATTCTCGTTTAATTTGATTTTTAGTTTACGAACCTACATACATGAGTACACTATAAGATAACTAAATGCACATCATAAATTGTAAATTAGTCTAACGCTCACTTTCTCCTTAGTTTTCGAATTAAATTTTGGTTCATCTTCTTAAAAGAATTAAATAAAGTATTTTGAGCTTCAATTTTGATCCTTGTTACAAAATAATCCTTTAGTTCATTTTTATAAATCTAATTAACAAATAATAATAATAATAATAATAATTGCAACCTCAAATATTTTATATTTTTTCAATTTCAAAAAATATTTTTTTCATAAATTGTTTAAAACTGGTTAAATATTTTTTTCAAAAATATTTTTTGTCCCATAAAATAACTGGTTAAATATATTTTTTGATTAAAACTGATTAAATATTCCTTTTCAAACAAAGAAAAATCCTTATTTATCGAACTAGTAAATTTTTTAATATAATCTTAGCTTTGTGGAATAAGGTCTTCCATCATCATTATTTATCTTCCAAAAGGATCTTATTAAAGTATATCAAATCTATCCTTGTTGAATAAGGTTTTGGTCATGAGTGAATAGTAAGATGCTAAAAATTTATCTTTTGAAATTATTAATGCATATAGAATTATAAACAAAATTTTAAAATTTGGGTTACTATTGTTGATGAATTTTGAACATATTATATTGACAGGTGAAGCTTGTGTAGCAGATTAATCAGTAAATTTTATAGTTGAATTACACTAGTTGTTGTGATGGGGTGTATAAGCTCAAAGAGAAGCAAACAAGTACTTTCCAATGAAGACCCAACTCTTCTAGCTGCTCAAACACCTTGTGAGTAACAATTTTATTGTCTAGCTTGCCAACTAGGGATTGACCGAAGGGTGCGGGGAAGGCAATCGTCCCTAAAAATCTCAAATTCACATATTTTTAGATATTTCTCTAATATAAAATGCTGCGTCTGTCCCTGTTGCCAATTACATTTCCTTTATAGCTTATTTTTTTTTCGCCAACATTGTTGCTTCTTTGCAGTTACGGTTAGTGAAGTAGAGGCCTTGTATGAGCTCTACAAGAAATTAAGCAATTCAATAATTGCAGATGGCCTTATTAACAAGGTACATTAATTGCTTTACAATGTCCAAATCAAGTGATGTTTTGATAAATCCTATGATTTTTTGTATGAACAGGAAGAATTCCAGCTGGCCCTTTTCAAGGACCAAAATCATAGGAATATTTTTTCAGACAAGGTGTGCAGTTTTAACTCTAACATTGTTTCTATTAGGTCACCTAACTTTATTAATTTTCTGAAAAGTTATGTTATATCCATATTCATGTTAGGTTTAAAAGTGTTTGATATGAGGTTCTTTTCTTTCATTTAAAAGTTTATTTATATATTTGAAGGGTCCTAAAAGGTTTGCATGATACTAAAATTAGTCCTCCAACGTCTAATAAAATATTATTTTAGTTCATATTCCTTTTCTGGAGTATTTTGGCCCTCAACATTTCATTATAGGAAAAAATCCCTACAGTTTGACCAATAAATCACTTTGGCCCTTATTTTTTTCTGGAGCATTTTGACCCTCAACATTTTATTTTAGGATAAAAAGACCTATTTTTAGAGCGTTAACTGTTTATTAACTAATAATTTCATCCATAGAGAGACTTTTTTCTCCAAAATAAAACGTTGAGGCCAAATACTCCAAAAGAAAAAGGGGTCAAAGTGATTATTTAGTCAAACATTAGATGTATTTTTTAACATTACGCCTAAAAGGTTATATAACCGACTCATGTTTGGATATGAATTGAAGATGGATGTTGAACATAATTATCTCAATGAGAAAGAATAAGTGTAATGCATAAGTAACTTGTAACTGATACTGCAGGAATTTTCTTGATACCAAATCATTGCAGCAAAACATTTCTTTATCTGCGGCATTATTGTTCCATCTTTCTAACTACTTTTTTATGAGTTTGCAGATTTTTTATTTATTTGATGCCAAACATAATGGGGTTATCGAGTTTGGGGAGTTTGTCCGAGCATTGGGTGTCTTTCACCCCAACACACCCTTGGATGACAAAATTTCATGTAATTAGGTTTTTTTTCCTGGAGGCATAATGCTAAAATTAACTCATAATGTTAATTAAAATGGTCATTTTAGTCTCTACTCTTTTTTTTTTTGAAGTATTTTGATCTCAACGTTTCATTTTAGTACAAAATGTCCTAATGTTTGACCAAATAGTTAGTTTGACACTTATTCTTATTTTTCTGGAGTATTTTGACCTTAACGTTTCGTTTTATTAGTTAAAAATGTTTATATTTTATAGCGTTAACCGTTTGTTAACTAAAGGTTTTCATCCATTTATGGGCTTTTATGCCCTAAATTGAAACGTTGAGGGTCAAAATATTAAAAAAAAAGAATAGGGGTCAAAGTGACTTTAATAAAAAAAATTAGGGTTTCTATGACATTATGCCTTTCTAGATGATGAATGAGAAAATGATGATTCTTTCTTTCTTGTTACATGCCTTCAAATGTGATGCTCAAAGCAATATGTTGTAACTTGAGACAATTTTTTCTGCAGTTGCTTTTAGGATTTATGATCTAAGACAAACTGGTTTTATCGAACGTGAGGAGGTTGGTTTATTACAAAACTCTAAACCTTAAATCCTAAATCTTAAATATGTACGATATATATGATTCTTGGTACATAATTAAGAAGTTTTTATGAGAGTAATTGTTTTAATGAGGATCTTAGTTAATATGTATTCATCAACTCGCAGTTAAAGGAGATGGTTGTGGCAATTCTGCATGAATCAGATCTGCTTCTTTCAGAGGATTTTATTGAGAACATTGTGGATAAGGTGCATGCAAATAACTCTAACTTCATGTCAACAATTATCGTCTTCATTCATATTCAAAGATTCACTTTGTGAATCTATTTTCCCCCTCAGACATTTAGTGAAGCAAACGCAAAAGGTGATGGAAAAATTGATCCACATGAGTGGAAGGAATTTGTGTCAAAGTATCCATCTGTATTGAAGAACATGACACTCCCATACTTGAGGTGAGTAACAAGTGTTTAACCAAGGCATAGTGTCGGATTAAACAGTCATTTTGACACCTATTTTTTGGAATATTTTGGTTCTCAATGTTTCATTTTAAGATAAAAAAGCTCCTAATATTTGAATAAATAATCACTTTGATCCTTATTCTTTCTCTTGGAATATTTTGACCCCAAATAGTTCATTTTATGGCAAAAAGACACATTTTGGAGTGTTAATCATTTGTTGCCTAACAATAAAATTTTGTGGGGCCAATATACTTCAAGAAAAAGAATAAAAACCAAAGTAACTATTTAATTAAATGTTAGAGACATTTTTTGGCGTTATACTTTTAAACAATTTTCTCTGGTTTCATGATTATTACAATTATTAAGATTCGAATCTTATATTTGTTGGATGACAATGTGATTATATAAACGAATCGAACATGTGAGGATGAAGTTGATCATAATAAAATTTTCTTGATTAAGAAGTGACTAAAATGATCGTTGAGTATTAAATCAATTGTTTATGATACTAATCTCGGAGGTGGGTTATGTGTTGCAGGGAAATAGCACTTACATTCCCCAGCTTTGTGGTTAGGATGGAATCGGCGATTCAGAACAATTAGGGTTGATGATAGAAGGTAAAAAGGCATTATTTGTTCTATTGTTTGTGATGGGAATAATATTATTGTAACACATTATCCATGACCGGTAAAGATTAAAATTACATAAAATAAGTTAATATTATTGTAACATATTATTCCACCACAGCTGGCTTTTGCGCACAGGGTGTTTAGCCTGTCAATTGAGAAACTTGCATCTTTATTTGATCCAACGTATCCTACTTTAATGCAACTTTATCCGTTACCACAAGCTGCTGGTAATCACTTAGTGGCTGAATTCAATGATATGGTCTCCAATGGACCCAGGGCTGAAACAAGCCATATGTTCTCTAAACCCTTGCCCTACTATCAGGGATGGATTGAGCTGACCCGCGAATGCAGTCATTTTCTTATAATTTTAAGTTTTCATATATTTTAAAAAAATTATATTTTTATTATTAATATGTATTCACCATAATGTAGTGTATCCAACGCAAATGCAGCATTCCACTCCAGCCATCCTCTACTGTGAATGTGGTCACTGATATATGATAACATGAATACAGCTGTAGAGTACAACTTCCATGGACGGCCTAGGTATGTTTGGAAGCTACCCTTCGCTGCTGCTAGATCCGGTGTCGGTAGGATTCGGCATGCGTGGATCGATATGCCTATATTCTGATTCGGGTCCTTTCGGTTTTGTGCGGTGATGGTGTTCTTCTGTAGTGGCATTGGCTTCCGAGCATAAATGCTACAATTCTGGAAAACCACGCCGGCATTACCGAAAATGAAATCGACGGTGCCGTAAATGTCACATTCACGGTAGAATTGGCGATTGGAGTGAACGTACAAGGTGTCTTGGTAGCCGATGATGTTGCATCTGTATACCACGGCATGGTCCGCGCCGATACGTAGAGCCACTGCCTGGTGCTTGGCTGGTCCAGCCCAGTTCTGGAATGTTATGTCTCTTGCGATAAAACAGCACCGGTTGCAGCTGAAAAGAATGAGAAGAAAAGAAGGTGAAACAACCAATGTTGTACGTGTTGGGGCCTTGATGATCGATCAAGGACCATATGACTATATGACCATATTAATTATACTAACAAGAGAAGCCACGGGTAAGGATCCATCAAGAGGGGCAATCGCCCCTTAAAATTTTTAAATTTATATATATTTTAGATATTTTTTTATATTTTCTGTTAAAATTCTATTTTTATCCCTAAAATTTAAAAAATGATATTATCTTAAAATTTTATAAATAAGTCTGTACTAACATAAAATTATGTGTTAATTCTTTACTACGGGAGACAACACCGCGAGACAATGTGACCCACCTCCAATAATTTCTGCACTTTTAGCTTTAGATTGTAGACTTGTAATGACAAATCCAGTTTCGGTTTACATATACACATGATTTTGCACGTAACTGGATAACGAAAGGAGCAAGTGCGTTGAAAATAATATTTGACTAAAGTCCGTACTTTTAAGATCGGCACAAAGGTGTTGCTTAATATCATAATCTATTTACGCCCTTTCTAAATTTTATAAGGAACGTTAAAGGAATAATATGTGTTTTAATTTAATTTTAATTTTTAATATATTTAAAGATATGATAAAGTACAAAAATGGTCACTTACTATAAGATATTGCTCTATTGAATCCCACAATTATTAAAAGTTACAAAATATCATCTGATTATACGAAGTTGCTTTGTTGAGTCTCTCAACTATTCATCTGAGTATTCATTATATTCCAAGCACATCATTTTCTGTTAAATAATTGACGGCAGTATGAATTGGACGTTAACCTGCCAATTGAGATATGATAAAATATGATATCATAATCTCAAACGACTATCGTATATCAGTCAGAATGTTAACGCCCGACTCAAGCGACCATTATTTTTTAACGGAAAAAGACGAGTTTAGAACGTAATTAATAGTCGGGTGACCATGTTATAACTTTTAATAGTCGAGAGATTCAACAAAGAAACTCCCTATAGTTGGAGATCATTTTATAACTTTTGAAAGTTGAAGATTCAACAAAGCAATATCCTATAGTTGATGGACTATTTATGTACTTTACCTTTAAAGATATATAATTTCAATAATATCCTTGCTTTTTTTCCCTATGAGATCTCTATTTTACCTAATAAAAATGTAATTATATATATATATATATATATATATATATATCATATCAAATAGAGTCAAATAATGTAAGTTTTTATCTAAAAAAATCTAATCAAACTTCAAGTCTTTAAATTCGAATCGGACCAAGTGAAAAAGGAAAAGATATAATATTCATATCGAATCGAGAAAAAAATAAAATGATAAAATATATGAATCAAGTTTAAATCAAACCAAAAAGTAATCTAAATTTACCTATACTTATTTTTATATATGATAGTATTTTTAATTTTTGTGACAAATATATCCGATCTTTGATATATATTTTTAGTTTGATATAGATTAATAAAATTAATATTTTACTTGCCTAATTAAAACGGATAAATGAAATACACAATAGAATAATATATATATATATAAGTGGTGAATTGAAGTTACCGAAGACAGCAGTGTGGAATGTAGTGATGTTGTCGAATACACTTTTTCCACATGTAATTACAGTTTTACCCTTCCCCTCGCCTATAATTCTATAAACATCAAGTTTATTTTCTTCCTTCCCACCTTTAGATTAGCCACTTCGTACCGGCATGCATCTAAATACACTTAGACTAGTTTAATATTATTTTTAGAATATAAAATATTATTTTAAATTATTTGATTTAAAACATAGGCATTTAGTATTTTCAAATAAAACAAAATATTTATTTATTTCAAATATAAATAATTATGATATAAATAAAGATAAATAAATAAACGAATATAAAAAAATAATTGAGTAACTAAAATAAAAATTAAATAATAGATACGTTTTAATATTGAAAAGATAAGTGATTTTACCTGCCCGCCTTCACGTAAATGATGATCCGGCGAGTACTATGCTCCGGTGCCTTTTTAATCGCCTCGGTAATTGTGTTAACGGTGCCGTTTCCGTCTTTTGAAACGATTATGTCGGCCCAGATGGCCGTCACGGGAGTGTCCAGCATCGCCCTTTCTTCCCTCCTCAGCCATTTTGGGAAATGCCGCTCGTCCGTATTTTCTGCCGACACAACATCATTCGACGTCAGCAACCTCCTGTTCTGCGTCGGCACTCCGCCGCTCGCCGCGAATATCGACAAACAGTTACTCACGAGCTCCAACAAGTCCGCCAATTTGACTGTCATTTGGTCCCTCACCGCCCCGCTCAATCCCTCAAACCCCTCCGTACACGTGTCCTGGTTCGTCAACGCCGCGCTAAGCCACGTCATTACGTCTTGAGTGGACCCGCCTTTACCATGACCTTTCTGAGAAGGAACGACGGAGGAGAGTGAACGAGAGAGGGCGTCGACAGAATCTTCCAAAAGCTCGAGGCAGTCGTCGTACGCGGACCGTACACGTGGATCCATCTGTGTAACGGAGACGAACGATGTCGTATAAAGAGCCCTGTTGAAGCTCTGCAGTGTCACATTGAAGGAGATGTGAACAAGGTCCTGCTCACTTGCAGCATGCGAGCCAGGGAATTGGAGGAACTAGTTACAGAGAGTTTTCGGAACCGAGTTTTGCCGCACGTCCTGGAAATAGCTTGAGTTAGTTTACGGCGGATTGAGGTGCCAACTGGGGCGCCGCCACCTTCACGGAGCACAACTACGACCCCGGCACAGACAGCCGATACAATGATCATAGTCAAAGCAACAACAGGAATGATGACAACGTTTTTCTTATTGTTTTTAGCTGTGAGTTCTCCATGCCCTGATTCCGATGGTCGGATCCTGTCGTATCCCATTGCTCTTGATTTTGCCGACAATGAAGAGAGAAATTAGAAAAGAAATGAGAGAGGATATGGATGAGTTGTAAGAAGAGTTAAATAGAAAGAGGAAAACAACGGCTGAAGCTCTGAGCTGTCCTCTACTTTCACTGCGGCGCATATGAGTTACAGCTTACTAATTCGACTACAAGTCTAAAACTTCAAATATATATATAAGGTCTCTGTTATGATATACTCCATGATGCAAGTAGATGCGTATTTTTTAATTAGTTTGGTTGAATATAAAGTATTATTTGTTCAAAGATTTTTAATACTAAGCGTTCATATACCCCTACATACGTGATATTTCGAACTCGATACTTCAAGTACTTATAACAATTCCTTAACCATATTGTGTATTTGATAAGCATATCGTGTATGTGTTGTGATTTAACATGATTATTAGAAGTGTAATATGTAAAATCCATAAGGTGGTGTGTATAATGTATGTGTAGTAAATTTAGTATAATTAGCAAGTATGAGTTAAGAAAAGGACATGCTATATTGTGTTTTATGGTTAAATCATGTTTTGAACATTTTACTTATGTATGTTTCATATGGAATTATTGAACTTACTTAATAATATTAGATGAAATATTGAATTGATTATTATGTAGGTTATATATAAGAATAATTGTGTTAAACCCACAGGCTCTAATTTGTGAAACGTATAATTTAAACTCATTTTGAGGAATGTATGTAACTGCATTATGAACATATTTGATCATTTGGTAATTTAGTCACTAGCCTTTTTGGGATGTTACAGAAGGAATGTTAAGATGCGATCGCCCCTCTAAAAATTTTAATATAATTTTTTAAATTCATACCCCTAACATAACTTTTTGTCCATCCTCTGAATACCTCATTCATTACAGTTCATCATTGTTTTAGCATCTACACTTAAGCATTATTTGCCCATTATTGCCTTCTCAATTTGTGGCCACAAGAAGAGATGTCCCATGGGAATTGGTTGGATAGTCACATAGCTCAAATTTTCTGAAAGTTATGGTGTTATGTTTATCCTTTTCATCAAAAGCTGATTAATTCACAATGTGGACAAGATCAGCAGGGCAAGATATCCCATCCTACCATAGCATTGAGGCCCTTGAAACTAG